ATAACATTTTGAGAATTGCTGATCCAGTTGCAAATGCTGACTCCTGCTTTTCCATGAATTTCTATTACTTCCAAAATGAGTTTGACGGCTTCTTCTTCAATTTCTACACTATCTAAGTAATCGTCAACATGTTTTTCAATGATTGCTTTAGCTGCCTTGGGAAGTATGTGATAATGTTCTTCAGAATTTTTATTTTTCACAAACTGAGCCATACAGGGAGAAGATGTCGCTCCAAATGTCATGGCCTTCATTTCGTAAACATCAGGATATTTTGATCGATCCATACCTCGCCAGAAAAAGCGTTGAGCTGAGCAATCGTCATCTCGGATTCTTACTTGATGGAACATCTCCTTTATATCTGAACAAAAGGCTATCGACTTCTGACGGAATTTCCAAATAATTGCTGTTAAGTTTTTTAACAAGTGTGGACCTTGAAGAAAATGATCATTAAGGCTAGTTCCACTCGACTTTGCTGCGGCATCAAATACCAATCTCAGCTTGCCTGGTTTGTTGGGGTTTACCACTTCAAAATGTGGTGGATACCAAGTTTTTTGGCCCTCTCTTTCAGCTTCAGTAACGCTCAGCTTTCGAATATAGCCTTTTTGTGTATATTCTTCAATTTTTCTACAGTAGTCACCTGCAAATTTCTTATTTTTATCCATTTTCCTCTCCATACATTTGAGGCGATTCAGTGCTACAGGTTTACTGTCTGGTAATGTAACATTTTCGTTTCTCCATAGGAGCCCAATCTCAAAATGATTTCCAACTCGTTGAATAGTATTATCCATGATTTTCAAAGCTCTTTCGTCTTCTCTAGATCTACCATTTTCTTCTATGCATTTTATTCCAAAATTTTCAATTCCAAATGAATTTTTTACCAGTTTGTGGATATCTTCATTTGCTTCTTCTTGAAACTTACAACAAACGTGAAATATCAGAGAATTCTCAAGAACCTTTCCTTGTGGATATCTTCCATGTACTACCTACCCATCCAAGTAGAGTTTTAGAAACAAAAGGTGCATTCCAATAACTCCGATAAATTTTCCTGGCAATTGTTAAGGCACATTGGTCTTGGCCAATAAGAATAGTTGGTTGGGCATCATAAAAAAAAAGAACTGGCGTTTCCTTGATGTATGGGTAGGTTTTACTCATATTTTCCACATCAATTGTTTGTTTTGGAAGTGAAAGTCCGCTGACTGTTCTGACTACATTTATTTTGTACATTTTCGAGTTTTCTTCTATTCCAGATAGCTCTAAAGTCACCTTCTTCGAATTTTCTACATTTTTTGTTACGTTTTTGAGCCACTGATAGCATGGTGGCATTTTGCTGTCTATAATTGTTGTTGTCGTTGCTTCATCTAACAAAGCAAACGTATAAATTTCCTCATTGGGTCCTTTTTCCACATGAATGTCTGGATCATTGTCCTTGTTCAAGAGTGAAACATTATTCACTGAACCTTCCGCCGCCTTACTTTTATGATCAAGATTGTGAAGTATGTTGTTATGGAATTTTTGGCAATTTTCTATTCCACACTTTTGTTTTACCCTGCATGAATATATATTATGACTTGGCTTCAGGCAGTAAAAACAAAGCTTCTTTGATGTCACAAATTTCCATTTTTGGTCGATGTCAAGTTTTTTGAAGTTTTGGCAAACTGTCAAAATATGATTATTCTGGCAGTTGGGACATTTCTCATATTTTTTTGTAGGAAATACATTTATATTTTTTCTGCTTTGAAATTTGTCTTGTTCAAATCGTTTTTCACGATAACTATAACTGTTGAAATCAGCACAACTTGACGCAGCTAAAGCGATTTTGCGCATCCATAGTGAAAATGTTTTCAAAGTGATGGTTTCTTCCAAAGTGGATTCTCCAGCCCATTTGAGTCTTAGAAATGGAGGTAATTTCATGATAATTTCCTTTAATATTGATGGATTCGTCATGTGTCTAGTATTTTGAAATAGTTCCATAGTTCTAACCAAATTTTCAATAACGTTTGAAAATGGCAGGTACGTTTCAAATCTTCCCTCTTTTGGAGGAGTGGCTCGTCGAACTTCTTCTATCAAATTGGAAACAATGAATTCAGGTCTACCGAATGTTATTTTCAAGGTTTCAATTATTTTAGTTACATTTTTAGGGTCGATAAGGAGTGTTTGCACTGCTTCACTGGCTCTCCCTTTGAGGCATCTTTGCGCATAACATTTTCGCATAATATTTTCGTCTTCACAAATATTGAAAAGATTAGTGGAACGCTCGAACTGACTAAAAAACAACGGCCAGTCTTCTGGATTTCCATCAAAAGTAGGCAAATTTGTTTTTGTATTATCTGATCGTTCGGAATTTTTTGATTTGTTGGAGTTCTGCTTAAATACATCACAGATCTGGTTGAAATCATCAGCAGTCATTGTAATGAAATTATTTGTCGTTAATACCCGTTTCTTCAGTTTTTAAGTTTGCTATCTTTTCTTGAACACCCATTTGGTCTAAATCGATAACACAATCAGCACCGTAAATAGTAGACTTTTCCTAGAACTTGATGATCCAGTCCCTTTGGAAACAGCTCGTGAACGTGAACTTTTGTTGGTATTCAATTGATGGTTTTGAGCAATTGGCATTGTTTGTGGTTTATCACCTACGTCACTTGATCTTTCGGAAGGAATTCCTTTAGTTTCCCTTTCACTTTTTCTTGGGTTTGGCATGTACATGTTTCTCCAAATTTCCTTTATTTTATTTTTTTTACTCTAAGGACCAATGTTCGGACTAGTCAGTCTGATTTATCAAATAAACCAGGAATCAAACTTTAACTATTTTTAATCTTCAATTTCAAAATTATATTAACAAGTCAATGTCATAACATTTTTTTTTGTAAATATAAAAACAAGTGATAAATACTGATTAACTCAATTAAAATACATGGTGATTCTAACAGCAATAATTGGAATGTTCGATTCCGGTATGAAATGGATAATATTCATAAAAAATAGTTTTTGCTGATATTTTCCAGAGTAACTTTTGATTGCCAGACGAATATTATCATTAGTAATACAACTAGAGGTCAAATTATTTCCGGAAATTTTTTCGAGCTCATGAAAATTTTGAAAATTTTACGAGTCGCAGCCGAACACAAAAGTGCCATTTAGGTGCAAAAAATATAATATTCTTTTAATTTGTAGTTACTGGAGCTACTACAAGGGGGTGGAAAATTATAATTTTAGAAGTTTTTTGGGAAGCTGCATGAACAGATTCACAGCGCGTCATAGCTTTGGCAGCAATTATTTAGGCTTTTAAATTAGTAATTTCTACTCATTGTAGTTACATGGGAATACTATTTCAAGATAGAAAATGCTATATTCTTCAATTTTACATAAGTTTTCAGTAACTACAAGTGGTAGAAAACTTTTTTTTTGCATTTTTATTAATGTGGGTTATGGAATTCATAACCAGCGACAGCAAGCATCAATCACAGGAGGCTGTGATCATTGTATTTTGACAGTTCAAAACATCTAAAAAAAAACACAGCACAGCCAATAAAACCAACACACTTCTTTGTTTCCAAAATTAATCAATTTGAAAATCATACTATATGCAAAATATGTGTGAAATTGTCTGATGTAATGATCAATCATCCTACCATGACTTATTTACTCGCATCAGTAAAGGATTGTGAATCCAACTTGAAGAAAGAAAGTTTGTTCTGAATTGTCCACGAATAGTTGCATCTAAACTACGCAAAATTAAAAGTACTGAATGGGGATCACACGTTAAAAAGTAAGACCTCGTTAGTCCTTAGCTCGCACAAGTTTCGACCTCTCCTCTGAGGGTTGTAGTTCGGAGGGGTGCGACAGCTGGTTAACGGAAAAACAGATTTTAAACAGATTAAAGAAAAATAGAATAAATTAGTGTCTAAATATTTTATATATTTTATACACCTTTAATATGTTTTATAAATCATGAAATTTCAAAACACCAAAAATTAATTGGCGCTCCAGGGCGACTTCATTGATTCCAGTGGCGCATTTGCTTTTTCAGCTGCAGGAAAACCCGGAAAAACCTGCAGCACCACATCATCTGAAGATCTTGAACTGTCAATGTCTTGTCTCTCATAAAACGAAATGTAGCTTGTCTCCAGAGGCTCCAATAAATTCAATACATCGCCAGAACACTTAGTGACACGACTATCGTCAAACTTAAACAAGTCCGTTTTGGCTTTGACCAAGGCGTAATAATGAACAGATTCAACGCCAGAACCACAGTGAACAATGACTGCATGTCCATTTTGTTCATGTCCATTTTGTTACGTGGCGTATCAGTATAGTCAGTTCAAATGTTATCCAACCTCAATCATCAATTATTCAAATCAAATAAATAGAAAAACATCCTAGCAAATAGCCCAAACAAATTTCCTCATGAATGCGCATGAGCAACGGGAACATTTCTTAATAGTTCAGCCTCGAGAGCAAGAACGATTCGGGACGGTTCAAAACAGTTTAGGATCATTTAGCAGTCGAAACCAGAACTGAGGATTCATCAGTCTGAAATTATCCTCAATAAACCAAAACGCTCTTCGCGCATGATCTTGACGTCCTAGAAAATGAATTTCGTAGAACCAAAACAAACCTGTTATGTGAACAAATAAAAACCAATCTGCCAAAAATGGTCTGTTATTATAAACGTCAAAAAATTTCCAGTATAATTCGCTCTTGGGTGTCCCACGAGAAAAAAATTTACACTGAAATTCCTCCTCCGCCATAGTGATTTGTCAAAATAACGTATTTTGATTGGTTCAAAATTATAGGTGTGGAATTTTCATTATAACTGACTTGAGCAAAAAAATTATATTCTCTTAGATAGGTACATGTATATTTATCCATATGTAGAGAGAGATCTACAATGGAGTACAGTGAAATTTTAGAATCGTTTTCAGTATTTTGAGGATTATCTAAAGTTTTTTCTTCACTCTTCCATTCAAAAATCATCTGAATATTTGATGTTTTTTCAGATACAAAAATGACGTCGACAAAGAAATAGTTCAACTGAAATTTGTACGTTCTTCAGACAATAAAACTATTGGAGCTATTAACTGGTTTGCTGTCCATCCAACATCGATGAATAACACCAACTGTTTAATTTCGTCAGATAATGTGGGATATGCCTCTATATTATTTGAAACAAGCATGGATACTCATTCCTTACCGGGCCAGGTATGAATTTTTCATTAATTGAACTTTTCGGATGGACGAGAGCATGAACTCAAGTTATATGTTGAATTATATGAAACAGATATGATTGAAGGTGATTGACAATGTTTCATGGTGCATTTCATTAGTTCGGACTTTCATTGTCTAATATGATATAAAATAATTTGAAATTCCTGATAAAATTATTGAAATTAAAAAGATTAGTTGGAAAATAACAGTTGTATTGGGCAAAAAAACTGAAATTACAATGGAATAAAATACTGGCAACGATTGAAAATTAAACAATTAACAATTCAAGTTACTTCTCGACGTTTTGATTATTAATATCAACAATCGTCTTCGGGTGATGACCGGTCATTCGATTTCGTTCACCTATCCCTTCTTCCCTTTTTCCGTTTCATCGGTCTCAGCGGGAGCTGACCGTTTGGCGGGAATTGGCCGTTTTCCGCTTGATTATAGGTTTCCATATGTTGCATATCTCTACGTGAGCTTGGCTAAATGCGTTGTTAGACGATATAAATGCGACTTCTTTGAATTTTCTCCTAAACCAGTATTCTTTATTGTGGATTATTTCAGCTTGAGACCACTTGATGTTATGTTAATGAGTCGAAACATGCTCTGCTACTCCTGATTAGCTAGTTTCTCTTCACTGTATGTGATTCTTGTGTTCGGCAATGCGAACTTTCAGAGGCTGCTCAGTTTTACCGATATAGGATTCTACACACTTGCAGGGTATCCGGTAAATGTAATAATTGGAATCGCAGTCCGCGTTTGGTGACCTGGTTCTCGTGAGGCTGCTATGGATGTTGTTTCCGGATCTGAAGCAGGTAGGTACTGATATTATACTTGGACCCAATTATTCTCATCCTTTCCGGCAATCCTCTGGTGTAGGGGAGTACAAATACTGGTTGTGATGGCTTCTTTTTCTTGTGAGGCTCTGGCTGTCTTTGAGCCAAAGTCTGTTACACCATCACTCTGGAGTAACCATTCCATTGAAGATTATTTTTTATATTTCCTAGTTCCTTCTCGAAAACTTCTTTGTATCACAGAGACCCAACGGACGGTTTACTAGAGTCTTGACGATTTTTTTGTTGATTGATGGTGGTTGGATTCTTGATTCAACTACTATCCCGTGTGAGTGGGTTTTCCGTATACAGTTCAGGCCAAGAGGTAGTTAATCCAAACTGAATAGAGTGTTTGTTTCCTTTAGGTCAGTTATGAAACGAAACATTTTGTCAATTGTTTCAGAGCATTTCACCTTCGATATGAGATATAGAAAAGGACATCTGTTGATCTTTGCTTGTATCAGATCGTACTTTTCTCTTTGCTTGAAACAACAAAGTATTTCAAATATTCAATTCGGCATATACAGATATTGAAATTGACATCTAATTACTCTGATCGAATATTTCGCTAATTCTTGTGCGAGGTATGCTGCGTATGTATTCATTCAATGAATGTTTCAATCGACTATACGACCCACGAGTTTGAACATTTTTTGGTAACGAATTATACATAACGGGGCTCAAAAAAAGGTTGGATCTTTGCCATATTGACTTGTGTGCAAAGGGTGCTATGTACCTGTTTTCATTTCGAGTGGCGTAGTTATGGCTTGGCCTTTTTCCTTACATTGATTCAATACTAGTGACTTGTAAAACAGCGTATCACTGGGATAACGGAGCGGTTTATTCAACACCAGTTTCAAAAATTTTCTTTGAATGACTTCCAGTGGCCGAATATGTGATTTGGATACACACCCCATCCTATTATGCAGTATATCAAGTGGCTTTGAACCAAACTGAAGTAAATTATTTTTTTTGTTCAATGTTGACTATATCTTTCAGTTGACAAAACTTGTATAATATATATCGCAATTTGTTTACAATGTATTTGATATGAAAGTCCCATCTCAGGTGAGGATCTATGAGAACCCCTTAATACTTTATATGGTTAGCTGATGATATATTGAAGGAGTTTCGGATAGTTATTTGATTGAATTGAGGAAGCATAGCTTTATTTTTAGAAAATGGCAAGTAAAAGGTTTTATTGAAGTTCAATGAAAGATGTTTTCGAACCAATCTTTGATTTTTTCTAGATCTTTATCTGCCATGTCTTCCAATATTGCTCAGAGTAAAGAATAATAGTATCGTCTGCAAAACGTATTATGCGTCCTGCGGTTCCAATCGAAAACAGTCCGTTCACGTAAATATCAAAAAGCAACGGACCAGAACAGTTCCTTGCGGTACTCAGCATTCAATTTTCTTCTCACCGCTTTTTATATTCCCTAATCGGTTTTCTACCCGTGAGATATGTCTCTATCAATTTATACGCATTACGTCTTATTCCAATATTTTCCAGATTGCATAGTAGAATGGAATGGTTAACTGTATCAAATGCTTTTGATAGATCAATAAAAATCCCTAGTGATGGTTTGCTTCTATCGAGTGCTTTGTAAACGTAATTAGTGAGCTGTAATACCGCATTTTCGGTGGATTTTCCTGTCCGAAAACCAAACTGTGAGTCAGATAATATCATATGTTTTTATATGAATGAGTCTAGCCTTACTTTGATCATATTTTCTAGAATTTTACTGGGATTTGATATTAAAGATACCGGTCTATAGTTAACTACCTCATCTCTACATCCACTCTTGAAAACAGGAGTAACTATGGAAGTTTTTGAGCACAATGGAAAGTAGCTGATTTCTACCGCTCTATTGAATATGTGGGATATTGGTCCTGCTATAAACTCAGCCACTAGTTGAAAGTTTCACTTTTTAGGTCATCTATTCCTGGTGCTTTGTTGTTTTTGAGGCCTCTTATTATATTCCAGACTTCTGTAGGACTAGCTGGATAGAGAAAAATTGAATCTTTGTTTACGTGTTCCGTGAAACTGAATTGTGCTGTTCTTTTGATTTTTTTCGCGAAGTTTTTTCCTGTGTTAATATAAGTTTCGTTGAATATTTCTACTATTTCACCTACATCATCTATCATATCTCCTTCATTATTTTTCATGGACTTTATTTCAACTTTTCCATTTCCACTGAACATTCAATTTATATTTTCCCACAAGTTGCCTGGACTTTTAATGTTTTCCATTATTTTGTTTCTATAATATTCATTTTTGGCCTTTTGGATTAATTCATCAAGTTTAATTTTATAATTTTTTTATTCATTTTTCAATTGTAAATTCTGAGGATCTTTTTTCAATTGTTTATGTGAATCATTTTTCTTGTTAACAGATTTCACTAAAGAGTTAGAGATCCAATTTTTTCTTCTCCTTTCAGGTCCCTTGATGCGTTGATAGTACGTACATTTTTCGATATCTTTTTGCAAAATAGTGATTAACTTTTCTGTAATGAAATCCACGCTATTATCTGAATATATTTCTTCCAAGCTTCGGTTTTTAATGCTTTCAATGAATTTTTTTTCATTGAAATGTTGCTTTATTTTTTCTTTCAATTGATTATCTGTCTTTTTCCCCGTTATTATTTGAAGAATTATAGTTGAGTGATCAGTAATATTTGTATGATTTATTATAGGAATTACATTTTCAAGATTCTGGATATGAGTTTTTATGAAAATATGGTCAATACAAGAATTTAGGCGTGTTGGTGAATCAATTATAGATGTGTATCCGTATACGGCCATCACTATTAGATAATCATTCACTCTATCGTCTTGCTCGTTCATAATATCAATATTGACATCTCGAACAGATAGACTGTATTTTTTGTTGTTTGTAGTTTGGTTTTCAAAATAATTTTGCAAATTCTGATTGAGTAAGTCAATGCACGTTGATGGAGATCTATAGAATGTACTTATGAATATCTATTTGAGTTTTGTTAAATTCAACCTCCATGTTCAATATATCAGAGCCGTTGAAATTTATCAACTCGTGATTTTTATAAAAATCAGTTTTCAAGTTAACAACTGTACCGTCATTTTGGTTCAAATTTCCTTCGTTATAGAGCATCTTGTATCCTGGTAAACTGAATACGCTGCAATCAGTAATTTTTCTTGTCTCTGTAAATATCATGCAATCATATTCAATTTGAAATTGCGAAAGAAAAATTTTAAATTCATCGAATTTTTTTTGCAATACTTCTAATATTATTGTGTACTAGTTTGAAGTTATTTGATTCTTCACTAATCTTAAGGACTTGATTTGTTTGAAATATTTTATCTGAAGTAAAAGCGTCAACTTTAGTTATCTCGAAATCTCTGATACATGGATCCATTAAAAAAACAGCACAAATGAATTTAATATGAAGATTACTAAATTGGTTTCGCTATCTCTTGAATTATGTTTCCTGGATTACTACAAATAAAAGAATAAAATAATGTTCATAGTTTGAAACTTGTGATTCATATAAAATATTTTAGTCTGAACGTGAAGTTGGTGGAACTGTAAATTTTGAATTATTGGGAAAGGACGTCTGTTATTTTTGGTAATTAGTTCTCGATCTGATGAGCTTCTCAACAGTTGAGTTATCTGGCTTTGATGGTTTTTTAGAGGCTCCTCTAGACTTTGACAGGTGTTCTACTAGACTGGTTGATTGATTCTCTAGGGCGTTTTTTCAGATATAATTGTACTGGATTTTCTTGATTCATTATCGTAGAATATTCAGTACTAGTTGCTTTCTTGTCTACCTGGTTTTCTATTTCGTATAGCTCTCCTAAGGAAAATTCTTTATTTTCTGCAACGAATTTATTACCCTTGATGTAACAGTGTTTATTTTGCTGCCTCTCTTGTATTAGAGATTTCCGTAAAATTTGATATTCGCAGCGTTGTTGCACCGTTAGATCATGAGATACTGTTGTACCGCTTCCTCTCAACTTTTTGAAGTTTTTCAAATTTTTTTTTTCAAATATGATACGAATTCTATCTTTACTGGTCGGTTCATAGTTTTCCCACGGCAGTGAAAATTATTTATATCTGATTCTTTTACAACTACATTCAACGTGCTATAGAGCTAAGTGCAGATAAAAAGTGTAAATTCT